ACGTTTCGCCTGCATCTATAGTAAGCATCCTCAGAGGTAGTGAGGTCTGTTGGAACTATGAAAATGGGTTTATATATCTGTGGAAAGACCAGGGTGGGACTATATATATATATATATATATATATATATATATATCATATATATCATATATATCATATATATCATATATATCATATATATCATATATTCCACAGATATATAAATCCATTTTCCTAGTTCGAACAGACCTCACTATGTCTGAGGATGCTTGCCGTAGATGCAGGTGAAACGTCAGGAGAGAATGCCTCTAGAACATGGCCATATAGCCTGAAAAAACCTACAACAACCCAGTGATTCCGGCTATGAAAGCCTTCAACAATACATAAAACAAAAGTCCCCACTAAAGCCCAGGAGGAACAGAGTCGGAAGTAGAGCAAGCATCAACAGAGAAGCCAGTGGCCCCAAGCTAAGCCCAGTTGTAATACTAAGTGGATAGTCAAAGGGGGGGGGGGGGGTGGTTGGTAAAATTCCTCAGTACTGTCGTCCTATAAGGTATCAGTGACTTGAAGTAACTTCGGAGTATGGCTAGTTAGCAGCGAGGTCACAGCATGGTAGTAGAATATGGCAGTGATGTTAGAACGGCTTTACCACACCAACCTCTCCAAGTTGATGCTGGGCAGTGGGAGGGAAGGCCAAGTAGAGTGCAGCCCAGGAAAATCGCCAATCAAGTTGTAGTGCTCATTGCTCTTGCTGGTGGTTGAGACCATAGGCATCCCGATGGAATCATGCCCTCAGTAGAACACTACTCTGCTGGGCAGTCGATGGAAAAGGCTGCCCTGGAGCAGTTGAAGATGATGGCATTTTCTCAGCGGCTGTTGGAGAACGTCTGTTTGGTAGACTGGCTCCCTCTCACTCAGCACCTGGTGGAATGGCAATTAAAGATGGTGAGAGGCCCTCTCAGCAAATCACTTATGACTTGACAGTGATTTGTCAGAGCAGTTTTGCCACATATTTTGAAATACATGAAATAATAATCAGCATTACTATCTTCAAAAGAAAGCTTGAGTGACAAAATGTTTTGGACAATAACCCCCATCATTACTGACTACACTGGCTTTGGTCATGCTAGCCAAAACATCTATGGGGCCATGATTTCCCAGCTTCTGATCTCAACAGACTTCTGTCTCCTGTGTCCCCCAAAAGACCATTAAAATTACAAGTAGCGATCAAAACTATATTTGCTTCTATGTTTTTGGATTGTTCGCTTTTTTTGTCTTAACAAAGAGAAACTGTCTGGCCTCCTGAGTAGTTTGTTTTCATTCACACAAGTCCATCTGGTACCAGCAATGTTTAATACTCCTGTAAACCCCATGGTCTAGAGTTTTATGGGGCCACCTACCCTGCTGTCTCAGTTATAAAAAGACCTTCGTGGTGCAATGATGACATCATTTTGGGATGTGGTCTCCTTTTCAGGAAAGCACAACTTCAAATGTGTTGGTCTACAGACAAACTGTATATACAATATAAGGGCATATGAAAGAACTCTGTGCTTTATTGAGAATATCTTCATTTGTTGCTGTGATTATGGCTCATTACTGAAAATTGTGATTGGAAATGAAATGGTGAAGTAATTCCATAATGTCTTTTAGGGCAGCTAAGCTAGTATGAAATACTTTTTTGTATCCTCATATTTGAGTACCAACATGTTGTGGTGAGCAGCTACATATTTCTGCAAGACCAAACCTAGCATTTATGCTGATTTAGGAGTAACATGGTCTCCATGCTGAGGCTGTCCAAATCCTATAGAAAGAAATGCCTGAGACAAAACATGCTGCTCTGTTGAGCAGTCAGAGACAGATCCTGGTTATATATACCATTTTTGCCTACCCCTGCTGCTTGGCAATCACTTCAACCTATCTCCCACCCTAGAAGACAGGGATGCTTATTCTCTTCTTGAACATGAAAAAGATTCTAAAAACTGGGTACAAATATTTCCAGGTAGTTCATTCCTAGGTCTGAGGACCTCTAGGATTCCACATAATTGTGTGACCTTGTTGGGTGTGTAGTTATGGAGGGAAGTGAGACAAAATGAGAACATTGTCCCCTAATAAGAATTTGACCCTCCCAATGATATTTTCCTTCAGCCTCCAGATGCACATGGCTTTCATGCAGAAGGTTGTGAACTCAATGCTCCAATTGGGTTGTTGTGTGTTTTCCAGGCTGTATGGCCGTGTTCCAGAAGCATTCTCGCCTGATGTTTTGCCTGCATCTATGGCAGGCATCCTCAGAGGAAGAAACCTTTCAACAGAAAGGAAGAAACCATGAAAATGATCAAAATCTGGCTACCAGTATTTTAAAAACTCTAAAATCATAACAGTAAATAAAGAACAACACTCAAAAATAGGGGAATTCTAGACAAGAAACTATCAGGGACAACTAATCGCCTCCCAACAAAGGATTGCAGCAGGCAATAAGAAGCCAGACCTTGAAAACTGTTAGGCCATTAAATGTTAATCAAGGTGGCCAATTGCTACATTCACACCTACCTCCAACAGACAAGAGTTCTTTCTCCCACCCTGGACCTTCCACAGATATATAAACCCTACTTTCCTTGTTTCCAACAGACCTCACAACTTCTGAGGATGCCTGCTATAGATGTGGGCAAAATGTCAGGAGGGAATGCTTTCGGAGCATGACCATACAGCCTGGAAACTACACAACAATCCAGTGATTCTGGCCATGAAAGCCTTCGACAATTCAATGCTCAGTGCTTTCAGATTTCTTCCTTGGAGGTTTTTATATATAGACTGGATGACCATCTGTCATGAATGCTTTGATTGTATTCCTGCATGGCAGAATGGGATTAGATTATATGACCCTTGTGGGATGCATATACACTGTAGAATGAATGCAGTTTAGCATCATATTTAACTGCCATGGCTCAATGCTATGGAATCATGAGATCTGTAGTTTTACATACTATTTAGCCTTCTCTGCCAAAGACTACTGGTAGTAAACCAAACTACAACTCCCATGTGGTCTCAAACTGTGATAAATCTACAAATCAGATGCACTCCTGGTCTATGATTCTATGACAAGATCACCTATCAAGGCAACACAAAGGAAGAATTCGTTCAGATTTCTGAGCCTCTTAAGTCAGGCAGTCTTCGGATACATCTACACTGTAGAAATAATGCAGTTTGATATTACTTTCATGGCTATGACTCAGTACTGAGGAATCTTGGGAGTTGCAGTTTTACAAGATATGCCAAAGGGTGTTGGTGCCTCACCAAAGGGCAGCTTCCGGGATTCCATAGCATTGAAAAAGTAGTGTCAGTTTGCATTAATTCTACAGTGTAGACGCACACTTGGTCAACCCCATTCCCTCGCAGAGGCTCTAAGTCCCAGTGAGTCTAAGCTACACTAGATAGTAAACTGTCCATGATAACATAACTTTGGGAAGTTCCTCCATAGTTTTTCAGCTTTTCCTTTGACAGTTCCATTAGATAAGGCAACAAACAGAAGGTGGAAAGGGCCAGCTCTGGGGTTAATTAAATTGACTGCTGATTCTCTTCAGTGGCTTTATGTCAAGGCTGAGATCAGATACTAGCAGTCATTTGGACTTGCCTGTTAAAGTGGGGTGTTGTCACTTGTATGAAATCAATGGGGGTTGTTATAATGTTGAACCTTGCAGGGTTTTAGCCTAGCTTGGCATTTAACTTATAAGTCAAGAGCAAATACTAATGCAAAGGCTCTGAGGTAATTTAACTTTCTCTGTGTTTTGTGGCCCATTTTATTACGTTTGACATGACATTTATTTAATTAGATGATGTACTTTCTGGAGCAAATCCAGATTTCCCCCATGTTTGCTTTTGCTGTTTAAGTTTTCGACCAAAAATACCACGTGGGCTTTGTCCCTCTCGGCTTGTTGGCATGGAGAGCTTTCCTTCACATTTTAAGGTTTTTTAAAGTTGCTTGCTGTCTACATATAGAACTACCGATCCAATGATTGATTTTGACATTTCCCTGTGTGTTTTTTGGGAGAAAAACCCTAGAGAAATTTGGTAATCACTTCATTTCTATTTGGGGGATCTCTGAACAAAAGGTTTGCCTGAAACCCACCTGACTTGTAGGGTGAGTGTGAGAGAGGCTTCTCCCATGGTCTTCTTTGTATCCTAGACATTGAGCAATGCCAATATTTGTATTTTGTTGACATTTGCATTTATGGAAAGGAAGGAGGTATGCTTGGATGCTAAGCTTTCATTCTACAAACAGAAGGTACTTCTGTTTATTTTGCCTCTATTTTGCCTTGGTTAGACCACACCTGGAATTCTGTGTCCAGCTCTGGGCACCACAATTGAAGGGAGATATTGACAAGCTGGAATGTGTCCAGAGGAGGGTGACTAAAATGATCAAGGGTCTGGAGAACAAGCCCTATGAGAAGTGGCTTCAAGAGCTGGGCATGTTTAGCCTGAAGAAGAGAAGGCTGAGAGGTGACATGATGAGGGCCATGTATAAATATACGAGGGGAAGTCATAGGGAGGAGCTTATTTTCTGCTGCTCTGGAGACTAGGACAGGGAACAATGGCTTCAAACTACAGAAAAGGAGATTCCACCTGAATGTGACAGTCAGGGTGAGAGCTGTTCAGCAGTGGAACTCTCTGCTGCAGAGTGTGGTGGAGGCTCCTTCTTTGGAGGTTTTTAATCATAGGTTGGATGGCCATCTCTCAGAGGTGTTTTGAATGCAGTTTTCCTGCTTCTTGGCAGGGGTTGGACTGGATGGTCCACAAGGTCTCTTCCAACTCTAGAATTCTATTATTCTATTTTAATGAAAGTACCATGCATAGAAGGGGGTCTTCTATGAATGCAAGACTTCTTTCATTTCCAAAATAAAAGTTTTATTTTAGAAAGACAGTATAGAAATACAATAAATTAACATTTTCACCCTACAGTTCCAAAGGACTGTTGCCCATTGCCTGTCTTCATACATGCTCTCTCTCTCTCTCTCTTTCCCATTTTAGTTACATGACAACAAGTAACAAACGGAAGTTCTTACATACCACAAGACCTTTTTTGAAGAGGGCTGCCTTGGTACTTACATATGTAAGTAATGTTATACATTGCATTATATTCCTTTAGTTTCTGAAGATGAATGATATGTTCGTGCCAAATTTTCACACTAACGACTAAAGCTAACACTATTGTATCTTACTCTGCTGGGATTAAAGGATGAATATGGAAATTGTCATGCTTGGTCAGAACAATGACTTGTTGAGGGATAGCAAATGCAACCCCTTGCCCAAGATGTTGTTGGATTGCAACTTCCATCTTCGCTCATCATTGGCCATGCTGGCAAGGGATGATGATGATGATGATGATGATAATGATGATAATAATAATATACTTTAGTTATATTCTGCTCTATCTCTCTGAGGGGACTCAGGGCTGATTACAGAACACATATATGGCAAACGTTCAGTGCCGTTATCCAATTGACAAGGGCAGACAATACATAAACAGAGCTTTGCCCATCTTTTCCATCTCTTGGCATCTGGAGACTGTGCTCGACTCTGGTCACAGGCAGATACTATCACTCCATCTTCCATGCCAAGGAGCTTTTTTGTTGCCCATAGACAACCTCCCGCTTGAATTGTTGGCCTTATAGGCGCCTTTATTACCTCCCCACTTAAAGCGGTGCCTATTTATCTACTCACATTATTGTTTTCGATCTGCTAAAGCAAAAGGTAGGCTGACAGCTGGGAGCTCACCCTGAACCGGGCTTGAACTGTCAACCTTTCAATCAGCAAGATTTTCTGCAGCTGGCAGTTAACCCGCTGTGCTATACTTTAGTTATATTCTTTAGTTTAGGGGGAAAGGTGTATGGCGGCGGCTACTAATATCAAGAATGGAATTTGTTTTACTTTTATGTTTTGGAATAGGTTTTAAACTCATGTAAAGGTTTCTTTTGATGGGTTCTGTACTCTAGTATTGTCTTGCTCAAGGAAAGAAGTGAAGCCCTGAACATATTCAGAGAAGTCAAACATCCATAATATTGTCGTGTTTGCTGGTTATAAAGAATTGCATGCCTCCTGAAAAAGCAACTTGAATGCCTGTTCTTCTAATCTTAAGGTGACCCTTCTGCTGTATTTCCGTCTCTGGATAATGGGAGGCTCCATGCCAGCGTTTTCCGAACAGGACAATCCAGCTTCCTTCTCGCCATATCTCCTTACAAGGTATGAAACCAGGAGACACACAGAATTTGATGGATATTTGTTCCTGGCAACATAAACCAGTTGAGCTCATAAACTGGGTTCCTCTTACTTGAAAAACACAATTAACAAAATTCCTTGGAAATTTTTTTTTGTCATGTCAGGAGCGACTTGAGAAATTGCAAGTCACTTCTGGTGTGCTAGGACGTTGCCCAGGGGACGCCCGGATGTTTTGATGTGTTACCATGCTTGTGGGAGGCTTCTCTCATGTCCTTGTATGAGGAGCTGGAGCTGATAGAGGGAGCTCATTCGCTCTCCCCAGAGTCGAACCTGTGATCTGTCAGTCTTCAGTCCTTCCAGCACAAGGGTTTAACCCACTGCACCACCGGGGGCTCCATCTTGGAAACATAATATATAATCTTGGAAATATAATAGTGATGGAACTAGTCTATTAACTCATTCCAGCTGCAGAGAATATCCAAACATTGGAGGTCACTGACAGTCCGCATTTCATACATAATTTTGACCATTCTTTGAACATGATTGGGAAATATCTATTTGTCCAGAGGAGGTGGTTCACTAAATTCATCTGGAAAAGTCAGCATTCATATATTAATCTTCACAGATGAAATAAACAGTGATCATAAGCTTGGACAGAGGCTGGCTTTTCTGCTCTATCTCCATAGAAAAACAATGTGTGCTGGATTATCTCTCTTGGTCTTCAAAGTATGAAAACAGTCAGGCCACAACATACTGTTGCATTTAGCTAGAGAAGAAATTACGGGTGAAATTCCCCTTATCTCCCCAAATATAGGGCAGAAAGACTTGTGTAAAACAAAGAAGCCTCTATATAAAAATGCACACCTGGAAGTTATTTCTGAGTAGCAGAGCTGGACAAGTATGGTGGGACCTATTTGGGATCTCATGGGTTAACAAAAAGGCTGTCCCAGAGTCAATAAGGAAAAAGTGCTGGAGTTGCCCAGAAATGCAGATCTGGTTTTTGAAAAATAGCAATTTTAAAATGTTGGGCAATATGGGGAATACTGCAATCGATTTATAGAAGGAATTACCACTTACGTAGAGGCTTTCCTTCTTTTTTTACAGAAAAAGAGCACCCTATGGAATTTTACACCGAATGTGTAGTGATATAGTAGTGGTTTGGACATTGGACTAAGACTCTGGAGACCAGCATTTGAATCCCTGATAAGCCACAGCAACCCATTTGGTGACCTTAGGCAAGTCACACTCTTTCAGTGTGAAAGAGCCCCTGGTGGCGCAGTGGGTTAAACCTTTGTGCTGGCAGGACTGCTGACCAACAGATTAGTGGTTCGAATCTGGGAAGGGTGGGTTGAGCTCCCTCTGTCAGCTCCAGCTCCCTATGCAGGGACATGAGAGAAGCCTCCAACAAGGATGGTAAACATCAAACATCCGGGCATCCCTTGGGCAACATCCTTGCAGACAGCCAGTTCTTTCACACCAGAAATAACTTGCAATTTCTCAAGTCGCCCCTGACACACACAAAAAGTATGAAAATCTTGTGAACAAACCTTGAGAAGACCCTGCGATAGGTTCATCTTAGGGTTAGAAACAACTGGAAGGTACACAAGAACAAGAGAGTTTGTTGGGTTTGAGGACCAGAAGTAGAGTGCTTCTCTTCCTGGAGAAAAGAACGAATAGTTGTGGTTTTACTTCCCTCTGTTAAAGAAGAACCAATCTTTGTTCTCTTATTTCCATCTATTGCAGAAGAGCCAATATTGTGCTTTTATTTCCTATTTTATTTTCCTTAAATGGTTAGTTAGGTGCTGGCAGTAGCTCACGATCCATTACCAGGAGCGTGAACTCTTGCAAGCTTCAGAAAGTCACTTGGGGGTCTAGGGATAATCATCCGTACATCAAAAGCTTGGGTTAATTCAAAAGCTGATCTTGTCAAATGCTCTCAGGACGCTTTAGTTCAAAGGAGATCTACCGTCCTACCGAGTCCTCATTTAAATTAGGCAATTTATCTGAATGGCTAGGGGAAATCCAGCCTAGCCAGTGAATGAGGCAAAGCGAGCCCCACGTTTCTCGTTTGCTTTGTGCAAAAGCCTTTCATGGCTTGTCTTCTTTTGCCTGAAATTTGCTCACGCTAATCCAACGAACAGAAAGGGAAGAGAACGTTCTGAAGAGAATGAATCACCCTAGGAGCCTTTGATACTCTTTTAAGTCTTTGGTTTGTCCAGCCTAATGACTGGAGTTTGGAAAAAGTTAACTTTTTGATAATTTATCAAAAAACCCTACTTTTAAAAATGTAACTGGAGGTCCCAGAATCCCTTGAACAGCATGGTCATGCTTTCAGGGGGATTTTGGGAATTGCAATAAAAATGTAATGTTCCCAAACACCGGCCAAGATGTCTAGGTTTAAGAAAAGCAGAAAAAACTAGCGGGTGAAGAGACTGTGGTATAGAAGCCACCTGAAGTGAGAGCTGTCTCGTAGATAGACAACAGCTCTTTGTATCTCCGCAATCGATTAAATGGGGAGTCTTGGGAGAAGAAAATACCAAATGTTCTCAGGGGTCATATAAGAGGGCGGAACGGAAAAGAACAGCACGGGGCCGGTTTTGCAGGCGATTAACATTTTTTCTCTTTTAAGGACCCATGTGTGTGCTTCCCCAGATCATCAACAGAATTTTAACTCTTCCTAAATGCTGTGGAAGGATGTTATTAATGCCCTTCATTAAGAGTAACAGTTTTTCACTTCGGTATTTACAGCTGAAGCTCTTACAGCTCGAGGCTGTTTCCATCTTGTGCGCTGCTCTAAATCAAATCCGCTTGACAAGGCACTTCATAATAATGTTGTAAAACATATGTGGCTGCAATTATAACCAGGTGCTGTTATTTATGGGCTCTCGATCTCTGGTGGATTGGTTTGTTTACTCTGAGGCACTCTTATCAAGGAGCCCATCCATGTGGCAGAACCTTCCTGGTTTCTGTATTGCTTGGGATGCTCATCTTTCTGTCAGCCGAATCATTTCAAAAAGATAATGGTTAACAGCTTCTTTTGAGAGCATGTTTGTGTGCATGTATATCTCCACTGGTACATATGTCAGGTTGGTACATATGTCATGAGGGGAGATGACAATGAGCAGAAAAGATGCCTCATGGGAGCAGAGTTCTTGCTCAAACATTGGGATGAATGGCGCCATCTGAAGCTGTCCTATATGAATTAATCTTATAATAATTAACAAACCCATGTCTGCATGAATGTGTATTTTTTTTTTAAAAAAACAACAATCTCCTTGACATTTTAATGCACATATTTGAATGTATTTTCTCTCAAAACTCACATTATAAATCTATTTTATATTTTACTAGCTGTCCCCTGCCATGCGTTGCTGTGGCCCAGTCTGTTGATCTTGAAAATAAAGTAATGAGAAAGTGTTGGTTTCTAATATATGTAATTTCTTTCTGCTTGTGGGTAAACAGTATTGCTTGCTGTTTCTTTGTCAGTGTTGATGTGGAGAGTGTCTGGTTCGCCCACCCTGGAACATGCAACATATAATTGTCCTTCTGTAGGGGTCCCTTTCAAATCTATGATACTATATCTGTGTGTGTGTGAATCATATCTATCTATCTATCTATCTATCTATCTATCTATCTATCTATCTATCTATCTATGGTTGGATGGCTCTTTGTCAGGAGGACTGTGATTACGTTTGCTTGCCCTGATGAAGGGAGTTGGATTGGATGGCCTTAAGTATTTTCTGTTGGTCATGGGGGTTCTGTGTGGGAAGTTTGCCCTGATTCTGTCATTTGTGGGGTTCAGAATGCTCTTTGATTGTAGGTGAACTGTGGATTCCAGTGACTACAACTCCAAATGTCAAGGTCTATTTTCCCCAAACTCCATCTCTGTTCATATTTGGTCGTATTGAATGCTTGTGCCAAGTTTGGTCCAGATCCATCATTGTTTGAGTCCACAGTGCTCTCTGGATGTAAGTGAACTACAACTCCCAAACTCAAGGTCAATGCCCACCAAACCCTTCCAGTATTTTTTGTTGGTCATGGGAGTTCTGTGTGCCAAGTTTGGTTCGATTCCATTGTTGATGGAGTTCAGAATGCTCTTTGATTGTAGGTGAACTATAAATCCCAGCAATTACAAGTCCCCAATGACAAAATCATAATTTTTTGAGTGATGGTCACTCCTTGCGTTGTGAGACATTTTGTTGCCAAATTTGGTGTGATTTCGTTCATTGTTTTTTGTTTTGTTTTGTTTTTAAGGTACTCATTATGCACAGAACATTTATCTATATATATAAATCTGTTAGGTTGGTTCAACGGGACAGCAAAACTCCACAACCCCCCAACGAAACTTAACCAAAATTCCCATGCCCATAACACAACCCACAAGGTACAAACATATCTACTCAAAATGAAAAACAACACAACAACACACTCACAAAACGGCAAAACAACAAAACTCACAAACCCCCCAACGAAACTTAACCAAAATTCCCATGCCCATAACAAAACCCACAAGGTACAAACATATCTATATACTCAAAATGAAAAACAACACAACAACACACTCACAAAACGGCAAAACAACAAAACTCAAAAATCCCCAACGAAACTTAACCAAAATTCCCATGCCCATAACACAACCCACAAGGTACAAACATATCTACTCAAAATGAAAAACAACACAACAACACACTCACAAAATGGCAAAACAACAAAACTCAAAACCCCCCCAATGAAACTTAACCAAAATTCCCATGCCCATAACACAACCCACAAGGTACAAACATATCTACTCAAAATGAAAAACAACACAACAACACACTCACAAAACGGCAAAACAACTGAGCATGCGCATTGGTGCCCAGCCGCAAGTTCCCTGGCGCGCGCACACAGTCTTCCGGCCAACGTTCCCTCTGCGGAAGCCATGCCCACTCCAAGCCCCGCCGCGCCGCTTCCCGCACACACACCCCCCCTGCCGCACACACACACACAACCCCACACTCCATCACTCCCCCGCCGCCACACACACACGCAACCCCACGCTCCATCACTCCCCCCGCCGCCGCACACACACACGCAACCACGCTCCATCACTCCCCCCCGCCACACACACGCAACCCCACTCCCCTCCGCCGCCGCACACACACAACCCCACGCTCCATCACTCCCCCCGCCACCACACACACACACACAACCCCACGCTCCATCACTCCCCCCGCCGCACACACACACACAACCCCACTCCCCCGCCGCCGCACACACACACGCAACCCCACGCTCCATCATTCCCCCCGCCGCCCACACACACACACAACCCCACGCTCCATCACTCCCCCGCCGCCGCACACACACACGCAACCCCACGCTCCATCACTCCCCCCGCCGCACACACACACGCAACCCCACGCTCCATCACTCCCCCGCCACACACACACGCGCAACCCCACTCCCCCCCGCTGCCACACACACACACGCAACCCCACGCTCCATCACTCCCCCCACCGCCACACACACACGCAACCCCACGCCCCACCACTCCCCCCCGCCGCACACACACACGCAACCCACCCCCCTCCCCCGCCGCCGCGCACACACACACACCCCACGCTCCATCACTCCCCCCGCCGCCGCACACACACACAACCCCACGCTCCATCACTCCCCCCGCCGCACACACACACACAACCCCACGCTCCATCACTCCCCTGCCCCAATCTTACCTCCTTTTACTTCACGCCACCTCCAAACCCCACCCCGCCCCTTCCCGCCCTGTCAAAATCCAGGAAAGACAGGAAGGAAGGAAAGAAGGAAGAAAGAGAAAGGGAGGAAAAGAAAAAGGGGGAAGGAAGGAAAGTTAGAGAAAGAAGGAAGAAGAAAAGGAAAGAAAAGGAAAGATGGAAGGAAAGAAAAGAGACAGCAGAAGAGAAAGAAAAAGGGGGAAGGAAGGAAAGAGGTAGAGAAGGAAGAAATGAGAGACAGAGGGAGGGAAAGGAAAAGGGGGAAGGAAGGAAGGAGAGAAGGAAAGAAAAAAGGGAATGAAGGAAGGAAAGAGGGAGTGAAGAAAGGGGGAAGATGTAGAGAAAGAGGGAGGGAAGGAAAGAAGGAAAGAGAGAAGGAAGAAAAGAGACCAGAAGAGAAAGAAAAAGGGGGAAGGAAGGAAGGAAGGAAGGAAGGAAGGAGAGAAGAAAAAAGGGAATGAAGGAAGGAAAGAGGGAGTGAAGGAAGGGGGAAGATGTAGAGAAAGAGGGAGGGAAGGAAAGAAGGAAAGAGAGAAGGAAGAAAAGAGACCAGAAGAGAAAGAAAAAGGGGGGAAGGAAGGAAGGAGAGAAGGAAAGAAAAAAGGGAATGAAGGAAGGAAAGAGGGAGTGAAGGAAGGGGGAAGATGTAGAGAAAGAGGGAGGGAAGGAAAGAAGAAAAGAGAGAAGGAAGAAAAGAGACCAGAAGAGAAAGAAAAAGGGGGAAGGAAGGAAAGAGATAGAGAAGGAAGAGGAGAAGGAGGGAAGGAAGGAAGGAAGGAGGGGAAGAAGGAGAGAAAGAGGGAAGGTTGGCCACAGCAACACGTGGCGGGTAAAGGTTGTTATTTCTATTATTATTATTATGCTATTATTCCTATGAGACCCTTTTAGGGGGAATGGGAGAGGTGTCAGGTCCCAGAGGCAATGCATTGCATTATTGTTATTGTTATGATGGTGGTGAAATAAAAGGAAATAAAAAGAGAAAGAAGGAAGCAAACAGGGAGGGAAGAAAGGCAAAGGAAGAAAGGGGGAGGGAATGAAGGAAAGAGAGGATGAAACCAAAGAGTGAAAGAAGGAATAAAAGAAAGAGGTAGAGAAGGAAGAAAGGAGAGAAAGGGGAAGGGGAAGAAAAAGGGGGAAGGAATAGGTAGGTACCTCTCTTTCATAATAGTCCAGATATCTTCCTCAACTTTGATAAGTTTTACTATAGGCCACAGCAACGCGTGGCAGGGCACAGCTAGTATATATATAGATATGAATGTGAATACTATTTTTTTGACCTGTTCATCAGTAGAACTCTCTGCCCTGGAGTGTGGTGGAAGCTCCTTCTTTGGAGGCTTTTAAACAGAGGCTGGATGGACACCTGTCGGGGGTACTTTGAATGTGATTTTCCTGCTTCTTGGCAGGGGGTTGGACTGGAATCCTGGGAGATGTAGTTTTGTGATGCACTAGTACGTTTTGGGCAGGGAAAGTTAAAACCTTGAAAAACTATGACTTTCATGATTGTATAGCATTGAGCCACAGCAGATAAAGTGGGTCATTCTACAGTGTAGGTACACAATTGGAGACACAAATAGCCTCAACCTCCCCCCCCCCCCCCCCCCCCCCCCCCCCAGCATTGGACTATAACTCTCTGAGTGATTCTGGGGATTTGTTGGAAAAAGCAAAACAAAAACTGAACACTTGGTTTGTTTGGGGTATTCTCTATCTGCCATTGCCTGGCCTTGAAAATGTCAGGGAGGCTAAATTGCAAGGGGCTTTGGATACTACACAAGGATACTTCATAGAAATAACCAGTGTAGCTTCCTGCCTTTATTAAATCAAATCAATAGCATTAGCTCCATAGCGTGTTTCAAGAGCTTAGCACCGTTTCCAAAGCACTTTGAGAAAAACTGATGAAAATTGCTGATTTTTTTTAAAAAAAATTGTAAGCACTGCAATTTATTCTTGGGCCCCAGGTTTAATGCATGTTGTCATAGGCATTCTTAGCTTTGTGGTGTGTATGAATGGTAAAACATTATTCAAGGCTATTAAAATGGGAAGGCGATCCAAATTGTTCGCGTTTTAAAAGCTGTTACAGATGGAATGTGTGCATTTTCCGAAAGGCTTGCGGCAAATCAATAAGTGCTCTCTTTGGTCCTACCGCGACATTTGGCAAAAGCTTTCCAAGCTGCGAAACTCTAATGAGAGCTTTCAGCATTTAACAATAAGCAAAATGGCCAAGAGATTTTCTGTTGCAATGAGCCAAGATGCGAACCAACCAGTTATCACCATCCATGTGATGAGTTTTTTAGCAGGTTTGGAGAAACGATGTGTAGTCGTTGGCAGAATGTTTAGAAGGAACAGAAGAGTTGCCAAGACATTCTTAAGCTGCTTACTTGGCCTTCTTGGGTCCTCCCCTCCTCGCCTGCTAAATATAATTTAGCGGATTTTAAAGCTGTTAATGTGCTATCCAGATCAGTGTATCATCTATAATTCCCACAAGAGAACATTTATTTTAGTATATTCAGTTTCTTTTGCCTGCATATGTCAGGTCAAGAATCCGACACACTACACAATTAGAATAATGGAATCATAAAGTTGGAAGCGACCACATAGGGCCATCCAGTCCAACCCCGCTGCCATGCAAGAACGCACAATCAAAGCATTCCTGACAGATGGCCATCCAGCCATTGTTTTAAAAAAACAAACAGAGAAGGTGATTCCATCACAGAGATTTTTTGGCAGAATTTGTTCGGGGGGTTACCTTTGCATTCCTCTAAGGCAATAAAACGTATCTATCTATCTATCTAAGGCTGAGAGAGTATGACTTGCCATAGACCACAAAGTAGGCATCCACAGCTAAGCAGGGATTTGAACCCTGGTTCTTTTGTAGGATCATAATCCTGCAAAACCATTAATAATGTTTTAAATGGATTTTTAACCCATTGTTTTTATCTATTGTGTTGTATTGTGCTTTGTATGTGTCAGCATCGAATTGCTACCAGTTGTAAGCCGCTCTGAGTCCTCCCCTCAAGGATTGAGAAGGATGTTTGAAATAAATAAATAATAAATAATCCAATATGCCAATTAACCTTCCCTAACATGCAAATCCTAAGATTCCATAAGATGGAACTGCAACAACAAAGATGGAGGACAAATTGCAAGGTCTGGCCCAAGGCGAGGCCATGAGGGGACCAGAGACTCACACACCCTCACACACACAAGACCAGACAGTGGGAAGCCACCATTGTATATTATATTATTTTCCTTTTGCTGCCACCAAATATTTATTAAGGTTTCTTCTGCTGCCACCAATTTATTATTTCATAGGCCACCTCCTTCAACAAAATGTTTAAGAAGCCACGCTAACTCTTCAGGTGCAATAAAAAAGGAATATGTTGTTTATTTTGTTCTTGAGCAGTAAGTAAGCATAGTGGTTTCAATAGATTAAGAGGCTTTACTTGGACAGAAAATAGACATATAACTTGAGTTCTTTAAAAGCAATGTTCAACACACTACTACAGACAGATTATTTTGAACCTTTTGAATCTTCTTTCCACACCAGCACTCTAATCACTATAGAGGCCTAACTATTTTCATCAAAAAGGTATTCTTTAACAACAGTTCCCAAAGCTCTTCTTTCCTTTTCAAATCTCCTAACCAACCCTTCCAATTCCAATCCCCCAACTGAACTAAACTATTGCTGCCTTTGCTCCTTCTCTTTCCCTCTGGCTCTGCACATCTCCAGTTGCTAAGCGTTCCCCTCCAATTTCATCAGACAGTCAGACTACACTTCTGGCTATGAGGCTGCCTGATCTCTCTAACCCCTTGCTCTACTTAGCTTTTCCAAGCCAGGTCTTTTTACTGCCTTTTACTACACCATCCCTGCAAGGTATGCCAATTCGTTACAGGAACCATGGCACTTAAAGTGAAATCATAGCACTGTGTTTGTGTAGTATGAAAGGACTTACATTCCAGACTTGGTCCCCAGTTATATCATTGTCTGTTCCACAGACAGAATTCATAGAATTCATAACGTTGCTTTCTAGTCACTTCCAGTTTTGCTGGAAATTACAGGAGAAGTTTGTGAGAGGATCTGTGATTGCCACTAACCCCCCCCCCCCCGTGTAGTTTGTCTAGCCCTCCCTGTGAAGAAAGAACTAACTGTTGAACTTCATGCTCCTTTTTTTTTGCAGATTTCTAACTTATTCCTACCTCCTGGCCTTCAACGCCTGGCTTCTTCTGGCTCCTATTACTCTGTGTTACGATTGGCAAGTTGGGAGCATCCCTTTGGTGGAATCTGTCTGGGATGTGAGGAATCTTGCCACCATTCTCTTGGTGGTAGTAATGCTGCTGCTTGGTTTACACTGTATAGTAGCATTCAAGGTAAGCAAAATTTAAAATCTGCACTAAACTCTTTGTAGAAGTATTTGAATACTGAATGCATAATATTCCAGTTGGGCTCATTTGGGAAGAAATCTCAAGCCAGCATATTTTAGGTTGATTTGAAGATAGCATTGTGTTAGTGCAATTACAGGTTCAGTATTCCTTATCCAAAATGCTTGGAACCAGATTTGGATTTCGGGTTTTGGAATATCTGTATTTGCATATACATACATAATGAGCTGTTTTAGGATGCAACCCAAATATGAAATTCATTTTATTCTTCAAATGCAATGTTGCACTAGGTCGCTTTTCACCACAAACTACACACTTTCCAGGTAATCCAATAAGTAAAAGTTTATTAAAAGTAGAGTATATAAAAATCAAGCAAATTCAGAAGAGCAAATCAAACTTCAAAAGGTTACTTCCATTAAAACCAAGAGTCTGAAAATCCATAACAGCAATGTCCCAAGATTTCCAAAAGCAAGATAACATGAATCCAGGCTAAACCAGGTCACACAAGAACTAAAAGCAAGAATAGCCTGAAACTTGAATACATGAATTTATTTATTTATTTACTCCTTTTGTATACCGCAAATATCAGCCAACGGCGACTCTAAGCGGTTTACAGTAAAATGTGCAACATTGAACAATATATGACAAACAACCACAAACAATACACAAAACGTCATCACGCCTCGAATAGAATCAGATCCAAATCTCATAGTCGTTTTACCATTCCTTGTTCAGTATGCCGTCTTCTGAGTCAGATGTTATTGCATGCTTATCCGAACGACTGTTCGAAGAGCCACGTCTTAACCCGCCTCCTAAACGCCAATAGCGAGGGGGCCTGCCTGATCTCCACTGGTAGGGCATTCCATAGCCGAGGGGCCACCACCGAGAAGGCCCTGTCCCTCGTCCCCGCCAGCCGCACTTGTGATGCTGGCGGGACCGAGAGCAGGGCCTCCCCGGACGATCTTAGCATCCTCGCCGGTTCGTAGGAGGAGATGCGTTCGGAGAGGTAAGTGGGGCCGGAACCGTGTAGGGCTTTATAGGCTAAAGCCAGCACCTTGAATTGTGCTCGGTAGCAAATTGGCAGCCAGTGGAGCTGGCTCAACAGTGGAGTGGTGTGCTCCCTGAGTGCCGCTCCCTTAGCAACCTGGCTGCCGAGCGCTGGACCATCTGAAGCTTCCGGGCAGTCTTCAAGGGCAACCCCACGTAGAGCGCGTTGCAGTAATCTATGCGGGATGTGACAAGAGCGTGGACTACCGTGGCCAAGTCCGACTTCCCAAGATACGGGCGCAGCTGGCGCACGAGCCGAAGCTGTGCAAATGCTCCTCTGGAAACCGCTGAAACTTGGGGATCCAAGCTTAGCGAAGAATCCAGAGTCACACCCAAGCTGCGAACCTGCGTCTTCAGGGGGAGTGCGACCCCGTCCAACACAGGCTGTAACCCTATACCCTGTTCGGCCTTCCGACTGACCAGGAGTACCTCTGTCTTGTCTGGATTGAGTTTCAATTTGTTCACCCTCATCCAGTCCGACACAGCGGCCAAGCACCGGTTCAGGACCTGGACAGCCTCCTTAGTAGTAGGTGGAAAGGAGTGACAGAGTTGGACGTCATCTGCGTACAGATAACACCGCACCCCGAAACTCCGGATGATCTCTCCCAACGGCTTCATGTAGATGTTAAACAACATGGGGGACAGTATTGAACCCTGCGGGACCCCACAAGTCAATGGTTGTGAGGACGAGCAGGTGTCCCCCAGTAACACCTTCTGGGTGCGGTCCTCTAGGAAGGACCTGAGCCACTGTAGAACAGTGCCCCCCAGGCCCATTCCCACAAGGCGCCCCAGAAGGATACCGTGGTCGACGGTATCGAAGGCCGCTGAGAGATCCAGCAGAACCAACAGAGACACACTCCCCCTGTCGAGCTCACGCCGGAGATCATCGACCAAGGCGACCAAGGCTGTCTCGGTACCATGCCCCGGCCTAAAGCCAGACTGCGCCGGATCCAGATAATCAGTGTCTACCAAGAATGCTTGGAGTTGTGAGGCCACCACACGTTCCAGGACTTTGCCCAAAAAGGGGAGATTGGAAACAGGCCGATAGTTGACGAATTGAGTGGGGTCCAGTGATGGTTTTTTCAACAGCGGTTTTATAACAGCTTGTTTTAAGCTGGCTGGAATTTTGCCTTCCCGAAGGGAGGCATTAACCACCACCTTTACCCACTCGGCCAATCCCCCTCTGGCCTCCTTTAGAAGCCAGGATGGGCAGGGGTCTAGGATGCATGTGGTTGCCCTCATCCCTCCAAGCACCTTGTCCACATCCTCAGGTGTCACAGATTGAAACGAATCCAACAAACTCGGACAGACAGGTGTTCTCGTCACATCCTCAGAGACTGCCGTTAACATGGTGTCTAGACCTGAACGGATCAAAGCGACTTTGTCCGCAAAGAACCGAGCAAATGCTTCACAGCGGGCCGTCTAATGCAGGTTAATTTCTGGTGGGGGTCTGTTGATGAACCGGGGTGCAAATGCTCTATGATGCTGCACCTAGAACAAAGGAGGCTTCCCGTGTTCCATTTTGAACAATGGGGCCAGCGCAGTGGGAAGCCGTATGGTGACACTTCCCTTCATGTGATGGGGAAGCAGCGCTGCCAGCAAGGCGTTGTGCTGCAATTGTCCCACTGCTCCTCCTATTTGTCATGGAGGCTGGCGAATTGCCCTGCGAAACCTCATCAATGTGATGAGCTCCTTATACATGAGGAGAAGTCTTTGCAAAGCAAAGAGCCATTGCTTAGGGAGATATCATTCTTCACACACATTATCATGTCAGACAGATCACTTTGCTGCGAAGTGTGCTGGCGCATTCAACTGTTGGTCATCAAGCACTGAGTGAGTAATCCAATGATGTGCAAAACAGTTTCACCATTTCATTTCAAATTCTAGTTTTCCTCCACTGTCTGTCTGAAAGAGTCGGATATTTTAAGAGATGATTTGGCCTGCCTCCATGTAGAGGGTGTCTTCTAGTCAGTGAGCAAGAAATTTAAATGTTTCTCCTTGGCTGAGTGCACTTTCCTTTAGTCCCATTCAAATTGCACTGGGTATGCAGTTGGACATGAAGTAAGCAAAAACAATGATCACAGATAATTTATATTCCATTGAAGTAGACATTAAAATGATTCAAGATATTTTATACTGCAATCAAGAAATCAGAAGATTAGGACTTGGAAGGACAACTATGAAGGGATGAGACGAGATTCTAAATTTCACACACATATATAATTTTAATACTAAAGTCAGGATTTCCAATGTCATTGTATTTATTATATTTATGTATTGTTGTAAAGGCTGGACAGTGAAGAAAGGTGATAGGAAGAAATCAGTGCTAGAGTAGATTTCTATAGATATTATTGATTGTGTCTATAGCCAGGGGCGGCTCGTCCATTATGCGAAGTAAGCAGTTGCAAAACACTTTTTTTTGCCAGGGGTGCAGAGGCGCCTCTGTAAATGCCCCTCGACCGCCACTTGAGGAGCGCCCCGATCTGCCCGTTCCTCCAGAATTAAATCTTGGATGAAAGATGTTTTACCGTTGACAGATCTGGCGTTCAACAGCACCATCTTCAACCCGGGGGGACTGCCAGCCTGGGTACCTCCACTTGCCTTGTCGGGAGACCGATTGCATATTATTAAATTTTTTTGGTTTCTTTTTTTTTTTCTATACCGAATTTGTGGTGGTAATTCTCTACCATTTTGGAGCCGAATTGATGGCCGAATTAATGGTCTCCCTTTCCCGCATCTCCCCCTCCCCGTTAAGGTTTCTATGGGGGCCCCTCGACCAATGGAATGCTCCTCCCCATCCATACCGCACCTTGACATTGCAACCTCATCCCTCGAGTCCTTCCAGTTTCTTTCCTTCATTAATTCCTCCTTCCGCCAACCCAGTTCCTTCCAGTTATTTCCCGGCCTTGCATAGCCCTTTCTGAGGTCTTCCCACCTACACCACCCTCCTCCCCCTTCCCTATTTCAAAGAACATAGGCACCAAAGAACATAGGCACCAAGAAACCAAGAGCTCTTCGCCTGAATGCAGCATTGCTCTCACAAAGATTGCACCAGAATGAATCACTCTTAAAAGCCAGTATCCCTCCCCTAAAGTAATTTCTCCTGCACCTGCCTTCCCGTTCCTTACCTCTAATTCATTGGGAGAGGCAAGTCTGTCCTAGCTGCATGCCCTGTCTCCTCAACTCTAATCTCCTTGACCTAGACAAACATTCATCTCCCACATTTCTCTCAGCCTGCACTTCTGGCAAGTCCCCATGGGAACGGATATTGCCTTCACTGTTCTCTTGCAAACTGCCAGGAGATTACAAAACGCCTCTCTCAGGGCCACTTCCAGTCTCCTCTGGGCCCTCTGAATCTCTCCCAGCAACCCCTTTCTTTTCATCTGAACGCTCCGAATCTGACCAGGTTACAACATGCATCTTATACACTCAACCTGGACATAAGTTTACATAATTCTTGAAAGTCCAAAAGCAAAAGGATCATTATCTCAACCACCCTTGTGGACAATTTTGGAATTTGGAGTGATTTTGACCTCGAAACTGCAGATATGGGATGCTCAATCTTTATTAAAAGCTCAGTTCACTTTATCAGAACTGAAGGAGTCAAGCAGTTTTTTCCTCCCTCCTGGATCACATATGGTTAGTGAGGGCCAACCCTACCATGAGGAAGGGTAAGGAAGTCACTTCAAGCAGCTGGTGCTAGAGGGCTGAGAAAAGTAGAAGGGTGTTGGAGGATAAACCTATGTCTTTGTATGGCTTGGGGCTATAGATATGGCTTTGCATGTTTTTAAAAACTTTCCATCTTCTGTATATTTGTAAGAACTCTTTAGCTTAAAAATAGTAAAGAAAAAGGTTTCCTAGAAAGTGAATATTATCCCCAGTGTGCCACAAACACACACATACACACAGCCCTTTCATGTCAGTATTCTGGGCTTTGTAAT